AAAAAAATTTTATAATAATTTCGATCATCTGTGAATAGTTTCTGAAAGTTTCATTAACATCCGACAATTATTTTATTTTTGCAAGATTTTCCAAATTAATGTGTGTCATACAAAAAAAAAAAAAAATTATATATGTTTTTTACTAGTTCCGGTGATACAAAGAGAAAAAGGTTTTTTTTTCAAAATTTAGAATGTTCTAAAAAGAAGGAAAAATTTTTTTAAAATTAAAAAAAACTTTGGTCTTTCCTCTTCATAATAACATAAACATTTAGACGATAAAATTTTGTTTTCGTCAAGTTTGGCGTCTTTTTCATCAAGCTATGCTCTTTTTTTAGCGATCTCGTGGAGGTGCCTATGTATAAAGTAGTAACAATAGCTCAATGTTGGTGATGCGAATGTTCAAATGGAGTTGCAATTGTCAACATATTTTGACAAAATTGCATCACTATTTTAGTCAATTAGGCTTTTTTCATTTATTCAACTGTATAACTCGAGTTTGTGTTAACTCATGCTGAAGGAAGACAACAATTTGATTGATTGAGTGAGTGAGTGATTCGTTTTCTACGGTTTATCAACCCTTTGCAGTTTATTTAAAAACAAAAAATACTTTTTTTTGGTTGTGAAAAATTTTGAAAGGTTATGGGGAGATATTAATTATTTATCGATGACAAGTTAAATAATTAACCCATAGCTAATGGGGAATTATAAATGATCCATATCTTTCCCAAATAACAATATCTTCGCGTAAGTGAATATAATGAGATCAATGAGAATTGGAACTCGGTTCTCCGATTAACAATTCCAAGCCATTAACCATTACACCACCCGCACATCCAAGCTTACAGTACCTGGTATTCCCAAGCAGTCACTCGATGTTGCTTAACTTCAGTGATCGTACGATTTGAATAAAACTGTTGACTAAATGACAATACAACTTATTTAAATATGATAACCTTGCCTATTATTCGACTTGATCCGCCATCGGTAATTTAACCTAATTACTATTAATAGTGCATAAACTAGTAACAATAGCTCAATTTTGGTGATCCGACTGTTCAAATGAAAATGCACTTGTCAACATATTTTGACGAAATTGCATCACTATTTTTGTCAATTCGGCTTCGAAAAGTTATCAACTTCCAGGACTGTGTGACCGATAAATGGGAGTCAAGGCAAATTCCGAATGCAGAGTTTTCCGAATTAAACATTTTTATCTTCTTCTTAGACTCTAACGGTCCTGTTTTGGACGTTAAATAAGCCTTCCCAAGATCATGCGAAGGAATAGGCAACTACCTTGCTTCACTGGCAAAATGCCTGTTGGTAGAGGCAGATACGTTTCTTTTCAATTGATAATCTCTCAGAGGTATTTGAATATAACGAACCCCACTAGAATTCGAATTCTGGACTTCGATTTCTCACCTAGAGCCATTATTCATTAAACCACCAGCTCATCCAAGTTAACAGTAGTAACTATTCCCAAACTGCCACCCATCTAGATACTGTCTAGGTTCGACGTTTCTGAACCGTTATTTTTTCATCGTGACATGGCCGTAAGCCGTATAAAATCCACAAAGTCGCGTCCTAAGTTACTAGGGGGTGGTATCACCACATCACGTTGAAACAACAGTTCCCGTACGATACTGGAAGTTAAGCAACGTCGAGTCTGATCAGTATCTAGATGGATGATCGCTTGCTCTAGGCTTGATGTAATAGATAACATCTCGTAATTGAAACTCGGAGAGCCGGGTTCAAATTTCATTTGGATTCGTTATACACACTTACGGGAAAAGGTACGAATTCACTTCTTATCCGTATCATCTGTAGGTTAATTAATAATATTTTCTGTCTTTAAATAGCCTACAGAGTGTTGATAAGCAAACCAAAACAAACAAACCAAATCTAGTTTGTGGCAATTAGAAGTTCATGGTATCGTAAGGTTTCTTATAAAGATGTTTTCATGAGGACAGTCCAGGCATTCCTGGAATTAAAGCATCTTGCTCGTATGTTGACCTGGAGTGGAGTGAGATATCGAAAGTCTGCGTCACGAATAAACTTACCATAACGTAGTATGCCACATCCATGCGAATTTTGAGTATTAGCATAACTTCGGTTAGTTATTGACTATGTAGGACTGATAGACCTTAACTGGATTCTTGTGATTGTGTATACTAACATCAGATACATATGGGCTTATGCATCTTCTCGATGTTTGTGGGTAACAGTGAAGGTGTTGTATCGTCCATTTTCTATAAACAGAATACCACGTGATTGTGTCTAATAATACTAACAGTTTTCCCTGTTTTTTTTTGTCTGAATTTCTGGGGTTAGAATTTATCATTATTTACACTATTTATATTCGGTCTATCGTCCTCGTCTATGAGGACCTCCTTAGTAGGCTTAGCGTCGAAATAAATACAATATGGGAGCCGTTAATAATGCAAAAAAGACAGACGACAAATGTAAGTTTACATCTCTAGCAGCAGCAATCAAAACATGGACAGCAGCAGCAGTTGCAACCTAATCAGAAGCAAGGTTAAATTTAAGGCTCTAATTTGACAACAACAAATTGTTCTATAGCATAAAAGCATTTGTGAATTTGGGGATATAATGGTTGTGTGTTCAATCCCAGGGTTGGACAGTGTGTGCTTATACTCAGTGGAAACGTGCAAGCAACACTAAATACACATTAACTACACGATGTCCAAAGTCATGAGCAGTAGAACGATAGCAGTCTACCTTCTTAGGTTAAATAGAGGTTTTAGTTCAGAATTCCCTGTAGGTTACCCAGATCAATATAAACCGGAGGCAGGACGGAAGTAACCTAATGATAACAACAACAAAGATGGGGACAACAGTCTGAAAATAAATAGTTTGGGGCGTTAAACGGAATTAGACGTCCGATCTTCCCCGTATCTTCCATCCTCGCACGGAATAGTTGAACGCACGGTTCAGACTATCAAGAGTGGATTAAAGAAAGTTTCAATTGATCATGAAACTCGTTTATTTCATGTCTTAGGTCGGCATTGCCTGACTTCGCGAACTGCAACGGATCAGTCAGCGGCAATATTCTTGATAGGTAGGCAGCCGCAACGTACTTAAATCTCGTATATCCGAATTTATCAGTTACAGTTGCCCCCAATATGAGGAACGGCAAAAATTGTCGGCTGATAAATTACGTTGTGAAAGAATTTCACTGTTGGGGATTCAGGAAAAGTTGTAAATATCCCACGAAAACCGAAACGAATAATTAAAATTTTAGACGATGGTCGTGTGTCTGGAGAAGATATGTTGATCATGTCTGTGCGCATATATGCCTACGGAAACTGACGTCAATCCACGTTTCAATAATTAGGCAGACATCTGCAGTGAGGTCACGCTGTTTCGATCAATGCTTACAGACGTGACAGATGTTCAGCCTCCGGTGGAGGTGGATTCTCAGCAAACTGTAGCGACTGACAAGCCAATTTAAATTGTCGAAATAACTGATTTAACAAGTACTGATTCCCACGACACCTGGTTCCGGAATTGTAGACAGAAAACGGCAAAGACTTGCTATAAATACCCATGGAAAATGTTGAAAAATCTGATTTAACTAATACTGATTCCAATGCCACCTGGTTTCGCAACTGTAGAAATTAAACGGTCAACACCTTTACATAGAAAGACTTATTGATAACGTCGAAAAGCTGGATTTACAAGTACTGATTCTAATGTCCCGTGGTTCGAAATCTATCAACATTAGCCGACAAAATCGTGCCATAAATTACCTATTGTAAATGTGGAAAACATGATTTAAGTAGGTCTGATTCAATGCCACTCGGTTCCGAAATTGTAGGTAGTAGACGGCAAAAACATTCCATAAAAGACCTAAATACTTAAATGGCTCTGTGTGCTGAGCATAAAACTAAAGCAGAGCGAGACTGTGATTGGATGCCTGCCCTGAGCTATTCAGGCAATATTCTTAATAGTGTATTTAAACATGAAAGAGTAGGCGGAAGTACCCACGGCAGCCATTTTTATCTGTCTGGATGTGTTGTTAGTATTCTATCGATAGTAATCAGCATATGATGCAACAGAAAGAACAGAGTCAGTGGACGGATATAAAATAAATTTTGTCCAAAATCTTTGGGAAAAATGTACTGTGGAGTTCATTAGGTTTATTTTATGAAATGGCGAAAAATTCAACTCGAAAAAAAATGTTCTGTCAAATGCAATAGATTTGAACACTTCCGGTTTAAATGAAACGTGTGGAAAATAAGAAAAGAAAAAAGAAATGAGAAAGAAAAAAGGTAGAAAAAATAAAACAAGAAAAGAAAAAAAAAACTATTGCGCTGCTGTCTTTACTTCGCCTCTCCCATCCGGATGTTGAGATGATAATTTATGGCTTTGGACTTAGTCAACACCCGAATGACCGGGAGCGTGCATTCTCACACCCCATCATTTGGATCCTAAGAGATACACACGTGTCAGCGTCATGTGTTGCTTAACTGATATGCACCGCTTTCGCCTAACCTCGTTTTCAACTTTATTGTTTCTTTTTTTACCTACAATTTTTCTTTACACTTTTCTTTTTGCTTTTAATAAAAGAAATATTTTTACGAGTACTTTCGTTCTTTCTTTCTATCCTTCATTCTTTCGTTCACTCGGTTGTTCTTTATTTCTTTCTATTATTCATTCGGTCGTTCATTCGATCGTTATTTCTTTCTTTCTATTTTTACTCGTTCGTTCATTCGGTCATTCTTTCTTGCATTTTATCTATTTTCTTTCGTTCCTTCATTCGGTCGTTCTTTCTTTCTATTTTTCATTTGTTCTTTCATTCTTTTTTTATTTTTCATTCGTTCTTTCTTTCTATTTTTAGTTCTTTCGTTCATTCGGTCGGTCTTTC